TATTATACAGTTCAGTAAAAAAAAGAAAAGAAATTAAAATAAAGCAAATAGCTGTAATGGGAAGTTTTTATTGTTTGATGTTTTACTGTGGTTTTATACTTTGTTAGAAGCTGCCCAGAGTGGCTGGGGCAACCCAGTCAGATGGGCTGCATATAAATGGGCTGCATATAAATTATCAATAATAATAATAAAAAATAATAATCACCATCATCCCTGGATACCAATTGCTTGATATAATGAAATATTGATATGTATAATATTTGTGCTTTCAAAGTGTCTCATAGAATTTATGAACAAATTGTGGTTGCCATCATTCTGCAACCTGGTAGCATGGCCTGTCTAGTGGTAACTTTCTCCAGGGCAGTTTTGGAATCCCAGTCATGAATTCCCTCCCCACTGAATTGTGGCTGCTGCCACCTGCCCCCAATCACATTCTTTCCATGGACAGTGAAAAACATATTTATTTCTCTGAGACTTTGGGGAAAGTGGCCCATTATTTATTTCTGATGAATTGTGTATAGCGTGGATTAAAAATGTAACAAAACAAATAAATTAAAAGCCCTCCTCACACTTTCCAGAAAGTAAAATAGATATTTGGATTTCAAATAAGCTTTGTAACAACTCTTGAGTTCTACTCCATATTTGTTTGCTAGGTGCATACAAATATGCCGGGGAATTATCTCATGCAGATCTCATTGAAGTCCTGTTCCTTAGCAGTGCTCTCTGTACTGGAGAGGACCCTGGTGGATTGTGCCCTTGGATTTTTAGCCTGTCCTACACACTCAGATTCTGCAGTGAGTACTCAAAATACTCAGTTTGACAGGGAGGTTGATCAGTCACTAAAAGAACCCAGCCACAGAAACTTGGCCAGAACGAATCATCCTCCACTTGCTTGCCATGGACATGGGTAGAATAATAATATCAAGCCAAGTAACTTGGGCAAGATGTTAAAACATATTGTAGTTTAATGTTACTTGTTAATTAAACTTATACCACTTTTCCAGTTGTGTATTTCCCAAGATAATTCATCATGACAACATTATATGATGAAACAGAATGCACAACAAAAATAAATGAATGAAAACAGTAACGATGCCACCAACCCCCAAATCACTAGCACTATACAGTCAGGAGCCAGAGGTGCAAAACCCTTTACAGCCAAGGGACCTGGCAGCTGTAAGTATTTAATTGACCTCTAGAAGAAATGTGCAGAATATTGATGGTGTTCACATTCTACACAGAGGAATCTTTTTAAAAATACTGCATTAGGTGAAAGAGTAGCTTTGCCAATGTATTAAATACTTGGCAAAAAAGGTGTTTAAAAATTAAGTAAATGTTGTTTAACAGAAACATACAGTTGGAAATATTTTCCAATGTTTATGTTCAGATCTCATACCTGCCTGGCTCCTCTATGTTTGTTTACTGTGATACATGATTTATATAAATATATTGCAAATTATTAACTCCTGACAAATTTCAGGGAATTTAAATTTAACTAGTGACTTCAGCCCATAGTGGTCCTGCTATGCAAAGGCACTCCGTCCATGTTCCTTACCTAACTGAATCTAAGAAGATCTCTGCAGGATCAGACAAAAGGCATGAGCACAGTAGCAGCCTCTTGCTCACGACCCCCAGCAAATAGTGTTCAGAGACATACTGCCTCTGATACCAGACATGGCACATAGCCATCATGACTCAGGGTGCTTTTTTCCTCCATGAATTTGCCTATTCTTATTTTGATCCTTGAAAACGGCTGTTTTACCTATGTAGGAAAACGCCGCTGCAAGTACACAACTGGAACCTGTCCTTGTGTCTGAGGAAGGTTTTTGTTGCATGAAAGACTGATAAAGAAATAACTTTAAATTGGCATATTTATACTACGGGCAAGGACACAAGATTTGAAACTGTTCTAGGCTACTTAGAATTTGTATAGATGTACCGAAAGGATGAGGCAGAATGGGTTGGTACCTTTATTTCTCAGTGTGTGGGGTTTTCTCTTTGCATGATGAGCCTACCACTTCTCAATTTCAAAGAGATACCTAATGTATTAGAATTTTTAAAAAATGGATTTGGTAAAGGCTTCATAATTCATTTTTGTGACTGCAGCTGTAGACACATATCTACTTTTACTGCACTGGTTTCCAAGGCCAGATAATACATAAGCCATGGCAGAGAAGATGCAAAGGACCTTTCACATGGTGATGGTCACTGAGTCATGTAAACAGTTTCATGCTGGAAGGGAGAGTTCATGCATGGATTGTTTCTGCTCCACCACAGTTCCATGAGTCCCCTCCTCCAAAACTACGGTGAATTCACAAGTAGGCATTTTGCGTGAGCAGCTACATTCACAGGTAATCTAGCTACCGCTACATCTAGACAGACACACGGACAAACCCAGTATAATTGCAAGCCATTATTCTATAGCAGTTCTTTTTCTGTACTTTTAAAATATATGTAGTGCAACTATGTTCCTGTCATTCATCAAGCTACCTGAGCTAGCTTCGCTGAAGTCTAGCATCTCTCACTGGATTTGCTAGAAGATACCATGTTATAAAGCATCATCTGTACAATAAAAATATTACATTGCTTAAAAAAATTAACAGATATTTAAATTCACCCTTTAGTTATTTCTCTGTTGACTCTTTGTCTACTGCAAGGTAGAAGTACTTCAGGAACTCATCTTCCAATTTTCCTTTAACTTGAAAATGAATGTGGCTGAAGCCTGTAAGCTAGTGCAAGCCCCATTCAGCTCTGGGTTAATTGGGGCTTCTCTGCTTAGCCCAGGTAATCTCTGAAATGGCAGATCAGAATCTTAACTGAAAGATTACTGTGCTTCCACTTACAGGTTGGTTCGGCTCTTTGTTCTTTGGGATATTAATGCTTACCCAATTTGCAAACTTCCTTTGATATCTGAAGATGAAAAAGTTCTAGACAAAGGCAAAGTATTTTTCTTAACTATATTTTTCTTAACTGCATTGTGACCTCTCTGGTATTATAGAATACACAACTTACTTACAAGGGGCAGATGGTATCTTCAAGAGAGAAATTAAAGTTGGTAGGAAGCAGTTGAAAGTGGAGCCTAGAAAGAGTGCGTGTCTAGGGCAGATTCAGCTGTGAGGTATGTACCGAGTTTGGAAAAGTAAATTGCTACTTTCACTGGATCTTCCCTTTCTCCATAGTTTATGCTTCTTGGAAAGGGTGATGATGGGGGCAAACTGCTTGATACTCCTCCCTTTCCCTTTGAACATACCAATAGCTGTACAGAGAAGAGCAAGCAAAGTGCTCAAGGACCTGGAGCAACAACTCCCCTATGAGGAAAGCCTACAGTATTTGGATGGGGGGAGAAATTAGTAAAGAGGGGCATGATAAAGGTGCATACTATTATACATGATGTGGATAAAGTGGATGGATATATGTGGGGTCATCCAATGAAACACACAAAAGTACTTCTTTACATAGCAGACAGTTAAACTATGTAATTGTCTCCTACAATATGTAGTGATGGCTGTTGTCTTGGATTGCGTTAAAAGGGGATTAGACAAATTCAGGGAGGATAAGACTCAGTGGCTGCTAGTCGCAATGGCTGTATTCATCTATTATTTTCATTGCCATGATCCTACACTTTGTCGAAGGGAAACTTCCCACCAGAGTAGAAATCATATATCGAACAGATGGAAAGATCTTTAATCTGAGTACGCTGAAAGCAAAGAGTAAGGTTACCGTAACCTTACTCAGTATGCTGATGACAATGTGTAAGCTTTCGCAGAATCTTACGAAAAGCTTGTCCTATCACTCAACATCCAAAACACCAATGTGCTGCAGCAACAAGCACAAAACAACCCCTCTGCAGCGCCACAAATCCAACTCAATGGTGTAACGTTGGAAAGTGTCAATCACTTCTCCTACCTCAGCAGTTATCTTTCCACAAGGGCCAACATTGATGTTGAAATCTAGTATTGCCTGAGCTCTGCAAGTGCAGCTTTCTCCCAATTGAAGTGCAGAATGTTTGAGGACTAGAACATTCACAGGGAAACCAAAATGCTTGTTTACAAAGCTATTGTACTACCAAGCTTACTGTATGCTTGTGAAACATGGGCGACTTATAAGCGCCATCTTCAACTCCTTGAAAGATTTCAGCAACAGTGTCTCCGAAAAAAATTTACCTATAACTTGGGAATGCAGGGGAACTTGCCTGATTATCATCTTCCAAAGCAACTACTCTATTCTGAACTTTAAAATGGAAAGCGTAATGCTGGTGGTCAAGAAAAGAGGTTTAAAGACTCTCAAGGTAATTTGTGCTTCCACTGTGGAAGGACATGTAGATCCACAATTGGCCTCCACAGGCACTTACAGAATCACTGTTAAGACCGTGTTCTTGGAAGACAATCTTACTCTGCTACGGGTGATCACCAAAGAAGAAGATTCTGCTTCCAGAATCAGTGGCCGTATGCCTCAGAATACCTCTTGCTGGATATCTGTGTGTTTGGTACCCAGATTCAGCAGGATCTTCCTGCATGTCATGTTTCATAATAAATGAAAGTTATTTCAAAGGACTCCTTTGCAGTGTTCGAAACTCCCATTGTTCTAGGTGCATTTTGTGACCCGGAATATCATTAGTGTGAGCAGCTTCTGAGCTCTGGGCGCAGTACTGTGGCTAAGATTTCATATTAAAACTGCAGAGTTGAAGGATGAGAGGACCTTTTTCTGCCTTCCAACTTCCAGCTACTCCGAAGACTGGAGAAGAGACCCTCTTAAGAATATTAGGGAGTGGGCAGGGGAAGGACAAGACAATGTGATAAATGAACATTATATTTTAGCTGCAGTTCATTTTCAGCTTTGTATTATAAAAAAAAAAATTGCCTAGACATTTGGTTTTGTGCCCATAATCTAGGTTTAAGGTGCCATTTAGATCCTAGTTTTCATATCTCAGTTTCAAACACTAATCTTTTGCTGGTTTCCACCCATTTACTTAGCATTTATGTGTTTTTCCCCTTTCTTAGATTGTTCGATGTATGCACAGCATCCCGAACAGACCGAGAGACGAAACTAACACTGGTGTTTGAACATGTTGATCAAGACTTGACCACTTATTTGAATAAAGTTCCAGAGCCTGGTGTGCCTAGCGAAACTATAAAGGTATCAAAGAAGGGTAGGGGAGGTTTGTACATAATTTTATGGAATAATATGCTAAAGACAAACATACAGCGGAAGTATTTTCAGGACGACTTCTATCTGATTTAGAGGAGATTAAATTAATTACCTCTGTCTCAAATTCACAGGCATTGGTTCTTATAAAAATAATTTATAATTAATTATAAAAAATGCTCTTCATCGTAGTTTCAGCTCCTGGGTTGAGAACAAGTGGTTTGAATAAACCAGTTTGCAGTGTTCAGCTAAAATCACAAATTACAGTTAGTTGTAAATCAGAATCAGAAGCTTCTAGTCATCCCCCCCTTTTATCTAAAGGCTGGGTACATATGGGGAAAGGGGAGAAAAGTGTTTATGAGCCTGAGGCTTCCCATTGCTTGTGCTTGTACCAGCAAACCATGGTTCACATCTGAACTCGGCCTCTGTATTTATTATCAGCCTCTAGTAAAGAACCATAGCTCCACAGTAGAGCTCATGTTTTGTAGCCAATGGCATCTCAGGTAGGTCCAGAAAGAGTAGGGAACTGCTTTTTGGAAAGTTGCTGCCAGTTGATTGGGGTAGCCAAAGTGCTATCATTCAAATGTTGGTGGTCTGCAATTTTCATCATACCAGATCTTTGGTCATGGTTGCAGAGGGTGATAGGAATTGTAGTCCAGCGATAGCTGGAGAGCACAATGTTAGCTAATCCTATTGTACCCAGTAGTAAACTATATGGAGCAATGGTCTGACTCAGCGTCAAGCAGCTTCATATATTTATATGATTTTGTTATTTATTTGCTATTTTAAATATTTTAATCTTTCTGCAAAATGCTCATGGTGGCTTGCAGTTAATATAAGAAATACACTGAAACGATGAATACACAAGAGCTGCCAGCAACAAATTATCATGTCTTTAACTAAAAGCTTGAAAGAAAAAACAGGCAACACTCAATGTCTAAATGATAAAAAGCAGGCACTAGGCAAATATTTATTTAGGAGGGGGTGCCACTACAAAAAAGGCTCTACCCCAGGTACAACTAAGCCTCTGAAGATAGGAATGCTCAGGGTAGGACTTGAGATCTTAAAGAATGGGCATGTTCATATAGAAGAGAACATCCTTCAGACACTGATTATAGGTCACTTAAAACTTCATAAGTCAAAGCCTAGGACCTTGAATTGTATCTGGAAACAAATTGGAAATCCTTTGACATCTACTAGATATGGTCATTACATATACATCTGCTATAAAAAAAGTAAAGCCAGCATGCCATGTTTGAGCAATGGGTACTATCTTTAATGATATACTCAGTGGTGGATGCTGTGCTCCACTATAACTGTGCAATAGGGCATGGGACCAGGCTGCTAGTTATTGCCAGCTCTAAAGAATGCTTGCCATATTTTACCCCATTTCGGCAGCTGTCCATTGTGAGGTTTGCACAGTCTAAGTGGAATGGACTGCGCGTCTGTTGCCCATTCTGTATGCTTTGCATTTTCCATTCTGTCCATAAAACAGGCAACACATGACATCATTGCATGACAAAGAATCAATTACTGTGAAGATCTGGCTTCTCTGAGAATGTCAGTTTTCAGTGTTGAGGCAAGAGCCATTTGCCATCTGTCACTGATGCTCATAATCAGTTGATCATATTTGAGTATTGGCACAATGCACAAGGTGAAAAACTCCAGGACAGATATATATAAATAACAGTGAAATAAACAAAAGCTGAGGAACCCCAGAGTTTTAAAATCATGAGCGTTGCTAGAATTTAGCAAAAAGTGAAGTCATTGTATATAAATATAAAAATCATTATTTCCTGAAAAGTACATGGATATTTTACATTTGCCTATTTGAAAAACATAGTGAATATGTTCTGTTACTAATTCTATTTTTACTTTTAATTCTACTGCTGCTTAATTAAGTGCCAACAATCTGGTAGACACTTTGCAGAAGCAACAAAGTCCTTTTCTGCCATGCCAAAGTTACAGGAAATAAGCCCCACTGAAATGAATAAGACTTCGTTCCAAGTACAGGCAGCCCCCAATTTACATGGGGGTTGCGTTCTGGGTCATTGTGTGCTTGCATGAAATCAGAAACCCACTGAAAAATATTGCAAACGCCCCTTTCCACCCCCGTTCTGCCCTTTTAGTGATGTTTCAGTGATGTCTTTAGGACGTTTCTGGTCACTTCCAGGTTCGTTGCTGTGCACAATCGCACACATATTTCTCACACCTAAAATGGGAGTTGCCTGTAAACAGCATTGGATTGTTAGCATTCAATCCTACTTATAGGCTTAATTGGAAGTGAATTTTACTGAAATCAGTGATACTTAAGTTAATGAGATCAAATTGTCACTAACCTTCTCTAAGATGAGAGCCTGCACCAAACAGCCTTGCATAATTTAACCCACATAGTTGTGGCGATCATATGCTAATTTGAAAATACCTTCACCTCCTGTCTGCAGGGGGTGCATGGGAAATCTCCACTTATATTCCATAGGTTTGTCAAATCAAAATTTCAGAATCAAGCACAAGACATCATTGAGGACCTGTGATAGCTATTTGCAGATTAGTAAGGAGCTATAGGAAGGGACGCGGGTGGCGCTGTGGGTAAAGCCTCAGCACCTAGGACTTGCCGATCGTCAGGTCGGCGGTTCGAATCCCCGTGGCGGGGTGCGCTCCCGCTGCTCGGTCCCAGAGCCTGCCAACCTAGCAGTTCGAAAGCACCCCCGGGTGCAAGTAGATAAATAGGGACCGCTTACTAGCAGGAAGGTAAACGGCGTTTCCGTGTGCTGCGCTGGCTCGCCAGATGCAGCTTGTCACGCTGGCCACGTGACCCGGAAGTGTCTGCGGACAGCGCTGGCTCCCGGCCTATATAGTGAGATGAGCGCACAACCCTAGAGTCTGGCAAGACTGGCCCGTACGGGCAGGGGTACCTTTACCTTTAAGGAGCTATAGGATTCTGAAATCAAGGATACCATATTATGTAACTCATTTTTTTTGTGTCTTCGCAAAAACCTTTAATGATCAGTCAGGAATAATGCAATTTCCATATGTGAAAAAAAATGAAATCCTTGCACTTACAAAAATATAGCAATATCCCGGGACAGTTATTGTTTCTTTTCAAATCCATGCAAGCTCTTTTGGAGGCTATTGGGAAGAGACTAAGAAAACCCAAGCAAACATCTTTTCCAGTTATGAATTTCATCATCCCCCCCTAAGTATATAAACAGTTAAGTAAAGAATATACTTAACTCTCCTATTGAAATCAGACAGATGTGGAGGTGCTTAGCTTTGGTTCTCATTCTTTGAAGACGACAACACCAAAGAACCACATATACAGAACAGAGATTCTCCACTTGGTTTCTTCCTACGTTTGCACACATTTTCTTTTTTTTTTTTTTTTTATAAAATTTTTATTGGTTTTAGAAACTTTTTTAAACAAAAAACAAACAAACACCAAAAATGACAAACATACACGTATAGTTTCAAACATATTTTCATAAACCTCTTTCCTTTGACTTCCCCATACCCCCCCTCTCTGCATCCCAGTGTCCATAGTTCAACTAGCAACTCCCAATTGTTATTTTCCAATCTCTGTCTTCTTAGTCCTTTTTTATATTTCTAACCTTATATCCCTGTATCCCTTTGTTTCTGGAAACCACAACATTTTAGCATTCATTAAGTTTATAGTAGTCCTTAAGATAACTTTTAAATTTTCTCCATTCTTCTTCCACCGTCTCTTTTCGTTGGTCACGGATTCTGCCTGTCATCTCGGCCAATGTCATATAGTCCATCACTTTCATCTGCCATTCTTCCAGAGTGGGTAGATCTTGAGTCTTCCAATACTTTGCGATGAGTATTCTTGCTGCTGTTGTAGCGTACATAAAGAAAGTTCTATCCCTCTTTGTCACCAATTGGCCGACAATGCCCAAGAGAAAGGCCTCTGGTTTTTTAGAGAAGGTACATTTGAGTACCTTTTTGATTTCATTATAGATCATTTCCCAGAAGGCCTTAATCTTCGGGCATGTCCACCAAAGGTGATAGAAGGTACCTTCAGTCTCTTTACACTTCCAACATTTGTTATCGGGCAAATGATAAATTTTTGCCAGCTTGACTGGGGTCATGTACCACCTGTAAATCATTTTCATTATGTTTTCTCTTAAGGCATTACATGCCGTAAACTTAACACCGGTGGTCCATAACTGTTCCCAGTCAGCAAACATAATGTCATGACCAATGTCTTGTGCCCATTTAATCATGGCTGATTTCACCGTTTCATCCTGTGTATTCCATTTCAACAACAAGTTATACATTCTTGATAAATTCTTAGTGTTGGGTTCTAACAGTTCAATCTCTAGTTTTGATTTATCCACTTGAAAGCCAATTTTCCTGTCCTGTTTGAAAAGCTCCATTACTTGGTAGTATTGAAGCCAGTTTTGTACTTTATCCTTCAATTTGTCATAGCTTTGTAATTTCCACTTATCTCCATCCTGTTCCAAAATTTCCCAATACTTCGGCCATCCGACCTCCATATTGAGTTTCTTTACTGCTTTAGCCTCGACTGGTGACACCCATCTAGGGGTTTTGTTTTCCAACAGATCTTTATATCTCATCCATACATTAAACAGTGCTTTTCTAACAATGTGATTTTTAAAGGCACTATGCTGCTTAATTTTGTCATACCATAGATATGCATGCCAACCAAAAACATTATTAAAACCTTCCAGATCCAAGATGTCTGTGTTCTCGAGGAGCATCCATTCCTTCAGCCAGCAAAAAGCTGCTGCCTCATAGTACAATTTTAAGTCCGGCAGGGCAAACCCCCCTCTTTCTTTAGCATCTGTCAATATTTTAAATTTAATTCTGGGCTTTTTGCCCTGCCAGACAAATTTCGAAATATCTTTCTGCCACCTCTTGAAACATTCCATCTTGTCAAGAATCTGCAAGGTCTGAAACAGAAATAACATTCTAGGCAATACATTCATTTTGATCACTGCAATTCGGCCTAA